CTTAAAAGTTTTAACGTAATTTTTTTCTTTCTCAAAACTAGGTACTGAGCAAATAGAACTTTGGAATTTTGGAGTAGCGACTTGCTGATGTATTGTTTCTCATCTTCCTCATGCTTGAGGTTCTAGTGCCAGCTAAATCCTACCAAATTATGCTATCTTCTGTCAGATGCGGACTGACCCCGTTAATGAAGGCCTGCCGACATCACAACATCCGGGTATGCCGGGTACTGCTTGAACATGGCGCCAAATGTGACCTGCAGCCTCCCTCACGATTTGAACAGGTGAGTGGGAGGGGAGGGGAGGGGAGGGGAGGGGAGAAGTTCCGAGTGGGTATTTTTTCTTTCGTTTTTCTTTTTGTTTCTATTTTGTTTTGTTTTGTTTGTTTGTTTTGTTTTGGGAGAAGGATGTATTGATGATATCAATCCCTGTCGTATTATTTCTTGTGTTCCTTAAATCATATGGGTTTTTTTGTAAATTATAAAATAATTATATCAATCCCAGTAGTTTGATTTCTCATTGTTCTCTTTTCTATGTGTATATTTCACATGTTCTATATCCATACATATCCATCCTGGCAGTTTGATTTCACACGTTATTTCACACCTGCTTTCACCAGAAAACCGCCCTCCACTTCGCCATCCTGTCCAACAGTAACGGTATCTGCAACATGTTGCTCCGGCACGGAGCCTTGGTCTCCAGACCTCCGGGATACAGGTAGGCTACACAATTTTCCTCTTGCCATTTTGTCAAACGAGCAACCAACCAAACAACCAACCAACCAACAAAACAAACAAACAAACAAACAAACAAACAAACAAACAAACAAACTGATCCAAAATAATGGCACGGTGCACAACGTCCATTGTACCCAGGACGATGTTTCTGCCGTCTAATGCAACAATTTCGAAAATCATTTCTTTTTTAAAATCATTTTTTGTCAGGCAGGTGTTTCAGCATTAAATTAGGCTTTAGCTTAGGGTTTAAAGTTCAGAGTTTCGAGTTTAGGGTTTAGGCAGGGTTTAGGATTTAGGAAATAGGGTTAGGGTTAGGGGTTAGGGGTTAGGGGTTAGGGTTAGAACCCAAACCTCTAACCCCTTACCCGTAACCCCTAACCCTACCCTTAACCCCTAACCCCTAACTCTAACCCCTGTCCCTTAACCCTTAACCCTTAACCCCTAACCCCTAATCCCTAACCTATAAACCATAACCCACAGCACTAAAAGAAACCATAAATACAGATTAACCTTATTTAACGTCCACCTGAATAAAACGGCCACCCCTTCCCCTTGTTTTACATTACAATGTACCCGTGTAAGAGGTCCACCTTTCTTAGCCAACTACTTCTCTCTCCTGAAGTGGATGGCCTCCTTAGACATCTGGTCGCTTTTAAGGACAAGCGGGCTAACCCAGATTTCGGAGGTTTCCAGAAATCATTACCTACACCAAAAGGGGGCATTGCCCTACCTATAGCAGAAGTTTGGTTTCGTTAGTATGTATATTTGTTTAGATAAAGAGAAAACTCTCCTTGACTTTTAAAGAAACTGAACAAGGGTCCTAAAGTTTTACCTTCGATTTCTCAAAACAGCATTTTTCAGGATAGCCCCCGTGTGCTTAAAAGCGACCAATTCTTGACTGTCCTTGTTCCTACGCCCCAGGTACTCCGCGCTGCACACGGCCATCGTGAGTGACCAGCCGGATTTGTGTGAGTTAATCTTGCGCTGGGACGGCCAGGTGGAGGAGGCAACTGATGAGAGGTCGACACCGCTACAGATGGCTTGTGCCACGCCAGGGCTCAGTAGGAGGTATGTTGGTGGTGGTGGTGGTGATGGTTTTGTTGTTGTTGTTGGTGGTGGTGGTGGTGATGATGGTTTTGTTGTTGTTGTTGTTGTTGGTGGTGGTGGTGGTGGTGGTCGTGGTTGAAGTAGCAGTTATTGTTGTTGCTGTTGGTGGTGGTGGTGTTGTTGATGTTGTTGTTATTGGTGGTGGTTGTGTTTAAAGTAGTAATTGTTGTTGTAGGTGCTAGCGGTGGTGGTGGTGGTTGTGGTTGAAATAGTAATTGTTGTTGCTGCTGCTGCTGCTGTTGTTGTTGTTGTTGTTGTTGTTGTTGTTTGGGAAGCGGGATCTACACCGCTACAGATGGTTTGTGCAACGCCAGGGCTCAGTAGGACGTAGGTTTTTGTTGTTGCTGCTGGTGATTGTGGTGGTGATGATGGTGGCGTGGTTTTTGTGAGTGTTGTTGTAGGTGGTAGAGGTGGTGATGGTGGTGGTGGTTGTGTTGTTAATGTTGTTTATGTTGTTGTTGTTGTTGGTGGTGGTGATGTGGTTGTTGTTGTTGTTGATGTTGGTGGTGGTCGTGGTTATGGTTGTGGTGATGTTGTTTTTATAGATGTTGTTGTTGGTGGTGGTTGCTACACACTACAAGTGGCTTGTGCCGCTCCAGAGCTCAACAGAAGGTATGTTGTTGTTGTAGTTGTTGTTGTTGTTGTTGTTGTTGTTGTTGTTGTTGTTGTTGGAGGTGGAGGTGGTGGTTAATCTAAAACACTACAGAAGGTTTGTGCCACTCCAGGACTCAACATATTAAGTTATGCTGTTGCTGCTGTTTTTGTTGTTGTTGCTGCTGTTGCTGCTGCTGCTGTTGTTGTTGTTGTTGTTGTTGTTGTTGTTGTTGTTGTTGTTGTTGTTGGAGGTGGTGGTGGTGGTTAATCTAAAACACTACAGAAGGTTTGTGCCACTACAGGACTCAACATATTAAGTTATGCTGTTGCTGCTGTTTTTGTTGTTGTTGCTGCTGTTGCTGCTGCTGCTGTTGTTGTTGTTGTTGTTGTTGTTGTTGTTGTTGTTGTTGTTGTTG